CCTAGAAATATTTTTAAAACAACAATCAAACAAAAAAACCCCCAAACCCCACAAAACAAGCCATGCACAGCAATTAAAAAAAATAACAACCTGCTCCACAGTCACAGAAATGTAATAGAAAAATGTTGTCACCTGTGTATGGATTACAAATGGCATCGTGCTGCAGTGGTAGTCTTTTACTATTGGAGACATCCTGAAGGGAACTCAAAAGGAGAGAAGGGGCTCTGGAAATGCCTTTGCTTGGCATGGGCCATGGGTAACCTCACTGTGAAATGCCTACAGAGAGGGAGGCAGGTCACGCTACAATCCTCTCAGATGCCCATGCAGTCTGTTAAGTGCAAGACTTAACCTGACTTGGGTCAGGACTAATTACACAATGTAGTCTACCCTGCATGCTTGTACTCAGGTGCAATAGTATTAAAATTATCCTATGTACTTTTTATTTTCCCCCCATCATAGATAAACAAATCTGAATTTGTGATAACCAGGCTTATTGCTACTTGAGAATAAATGCTGTGAGCTGATGGTAGATGTAGGGAGAAAAAAGCTAGGACTACAAAGAGGTTCCGTAAAGATATAGGTATCTTTCTCAGGGGGCTTGAGACAAAATAACAGTCATGTGAGAAAAACAACTTCCAACATTGCTACTGTAGTGGCCATAAGCTTACAGGAGAAAAACACACACTGAAATGAAATTGGCGTTAGAAATATCTGTTACCTACATCTTGTCATCTAGTACAAAAGGCAAAAGGCAGCTTCTTCAGGAAGCTGTGACTCCAGTCATTCCAATAATCAACACTTTGTTTTTTTAAATGGTACAGATTTATGCCTACACAAATAAGCAATCAAGCCATGGTGTTTTGACTTGTCATTGTAGGTGTTGATTCTTGCATTTATTTCAGAACTGCCATCTCTTAACAGTTTTACACCTCTAATTTAATATAATTTAATTTAAATTGCAGACTGTTGATACTCTGCTATTTTGCATCCCATGTGCCAAGACCTGCTTCTTCTGAATTAAATGTATGTCAGAAACCTTTCCCTTGGTTCTGTTTTAGTGTGCTGATGTGCCCTGTCAAGCACAAGCAGTCTCTGCACTTTCTTCACTCAAGCCAAAAAAACCTAACCCTGTTTCTTCTTTGGTGACCACTAAATTACCACTACAATAGGCAAGTTAAAGGCTGAACATATTCTGCAGAAGACTTTATGGTAAATTAAGGAGCAACTCAGCACTGTGAAATGGCATTCATAATTCTCTTCTGTTAGATATTGACCTCAGTGTGGAGATAACTAATTCTCACTGCAGTCACAGAGAGAACTTTGCTCCTAGGTTGTTGCAACGTTTCCACAGATCGTCACTTGTTTTTTTTCCAGCCCTGGTTTTCTAACTGTTCCCCCTCAGTTAACTTTTTGGGTTTGTCGGTTATGAATTCCAACGGCATCCAGATACTTTCAGATGTACTGCCAGGGCCCATTGTGTCTTCTGAATCAGGGCACAGTCCATCACATTTTCTGTGTGTTTAAGTATCATTACAGAAAAGATCAAGGGAGTCAGTAATAAGTCATTTGTGAGAAAATACATTTTCATTGCTCGGCTGCCTGAGAAACTAATAAAACAAAAACCACATATCCATAAAGAGCAAAGTTCCTTCTCTTACTGAATCATTGCTACTTAATATACCTGGATACCTGAAACAAAACAATTTCCTTATTTGTTGTGCAATTTCTCCTTCAAATACACGCATCAGGTTATACTGTGGAACTGTCCATGAGTGCTGAGAAACTGACTTGCATTTTGACTCATCATAGACACCAGACAAAAGTCAAATCCTTATTAAGTATCTTTTGAGAGAATGAGACTAATAGACATGACAAATACAAGCATCTAATGCATGCCCTTATACTTGTGAATAACGACCTTCCAAAACACGTGGCAGAGTAACTGACGATCAGAAGCACATTTTTCAAAGGGCTAAACTGCCAGGAAGATAGTCAGGGCTTCTTGACCCCATGGCATCTTATGCACCACAATCAACCAAGTCATCTGGCAGCTCACTGGCCTTACAGCAACAGGTCAGAAAAGCTACAGGAAGCTTGTCAAAATACCCCAAACTGCAATAAAAGCTGTAAGAAAGTTTGCACAGAAGCCTATGGAACATAGTATGTGCAGCTGTAAAGTGAGCTAGGCAAGTATTTCACGTATGCAAGATTACCTAACAGTTTTAGTCACCTAGCTGATTTAATTTCATTTGTTAGTATGTTCCTTTTTGTTCCGTAACTAAAAAAAGTCCCCATCATCTGTTAAACTTGCTTTGGACAGAGAAAAACTTTTCCTAGAATAGTGTGTTTATATGTAAGCTAAGAAAATCTGTCTAACAGCCAAACATTAAATGAGTATCAGTGTCATGTGAAGCGATCACATTTCTTTCTTGGAAGATGGGTATACTATTTGTAACTGTTTGCCACAGTAAACTGAAAGAGCAAATTACAGAGGCTTTATGAATGGCTTGTGTTTAGACCTAAGACCAGACTACTCTTCTCAAAGTATTTTTAATACCACTGTATTGAAGCTGACTGTGCCATGGCAATTAGCCATCTACTTTAGGCATATGTACCAGTCTTCAAATGCATGGCAGGAAGCAGGATCTGAAGGAATCTGCGTCTACATTTTTACCCTGCAAGGGAAAGTGCACCCACAGTGTTTGCATCCAAGTTGAAATACTGCCCCCACACCCCTATTTTGACATTACCCGCTCTTTTTATATTATAGGCAATATATAATTATTAAAATAATGAAGCTCAGGGGACTTTTCAGACTTACACCCTAATGCAGGCAACTTACATACAACATAGTCCATTTTACAGAGCAATGAGGGACTTTCCATTCCACACTTTCCTGCATCTATCTACTGAGATCAATTATTTCAACAGTTCTTCACAAGGACAGCCATTCTACAGATGAAAAAACAGAGAGACTAAGACTATCATAAAAATGAACTATCAGTATCAGTACTGCTACCTGTCCTGAAACACTCTAGTCATGACAGTATCACATAAAAGACATTCTCCTCAAATATTCAGCTAGAGGGTATTCTTAGGTTCAAAAGTTAAAAAACAAAAAGCAAAAAAATAAAAGCATTTTGTCTTGCAGTGTAGTAGCTGATTTTGCTTTAATACAAAAGGTAGAAAAATTACAATTTTGGTGCTTCAAAGAAGTTCCATAAATTGAGTTATAAAATTAATCCTGGAAAATGAAGTCCCAAAGCATGCCTGTGTTCTCTTATTGGGAGTATTGTACACAGTGGCTGGTATCTTACAATGTAAGAGCTTGACTGGTGAGATATACATTACCATTTTTGATAAAGCAATTTTCATGCATTATCCAGCATTGAAGATGTCTTCCTCCAAAGCAACATGTGCTTTGTGCTCTGTCCTCACTGGAAAGGATAAATCTGGCAGATGTAACATCTGTATCTGTATGATGACCCTGGCAATTACTCAGCCTAGGTGTGCTGATAAAGATGTGGACAGAATGAAAATAGTCAGTGTACTGGCTCAATTATAACAGATCCACTGAAAAGAAGTTTTGTAGGCCAAGGAAAATAAACCTTTGAAGTTAACTGCTATTGCTTTCCCTTGCTCTCCTTCAGCATCTTGTTGTTTGCTGGCATTTTTGTCAGGTCATTAAACAGTTACATGTATTCTACCTGCTCATGTAAGCTACCTTAGAAGTTGGTATACCCAAATAAGAAACAATGACACAGACAGGCTTAAGCATAGAGACATCTATAAGCACAGATATAACTCTGATAGATCTGTAACTTTGCCCCTCTACCTCTACAAGGTCACTTTCTGACTATAGCAATAACAAATGAACTATCACAAAAGGAAATATTTCCTTCTGTACATGATTTTTATTATTTACATAATACAATATAGCATAGATGCTGAGTAGCATGATTATGTGCAATACATAAATATGAACTATCTGTACATGTTTGCATATCTAATAACTCAGAACAAAGTTAAATGCAAAAAAAAACCGGATGCTTTTAATAGTAAAGTAAAAACTAAGACTGAACACCGCAATAGAACTAAGGTTCAGGAGTAGTGCCTTGTGTACATACATAACTATTTACAGATGATAACAGGTATTACCACAACGCTAATCTAAACTGTAGTTGTTTATATAAAAAACACAAGTTTCATACATCACAAAACCCCCTTCCATTATAACACAGAAGTGATATTACCAGACAAGCATCAGTGAAGTATACTGCCTTTTCTAGTTGTTATTGTACAATGCTGTAGATAATGCAGCCCATGCAATACACCCAAGAACACTACAGTCCTACATCCAAGTACAATTAAAAATTATAAAGCAGCCCTCCAAGAGTGGTTCCAGCTACAAGTGAAGTCTACAGCAGCCATTTTGGCTATGGTTTTCCATGCAGAATGGTGCAATTGCTACATTTAAAACTAGAGAAAATTAAGTCCTAATACTTTTTTGAACTCAGAACACACAGAATGTAAGTAGTATATGAATAAGAAACTGCTCTAATACTTCAGCAACTTACTTAGACGTGATGCTTCATAGAACTCCAGTGGTATGATTAAAAAAATGTGACTTTTTTTGGTAAACCAATCTTACAATATTGTGCTATGAAACATTTTAAGATAATCAAGGAAAAGCAAACAACTCAACTGCAGGCCAGTTCATAAACTCCAAGCAAGACATTTCCTTTGGGAACCTATTTAGTTCTATAATCAGTATAATCTCTCTCAAAACAGTTTTCTTCTCAATATGTATCTGACTTTTTCCATTCTCAGTGCAATTCATAAGCAACTTTCTTAAATATGGCACCAATCCTTATCTTATTGGGATGGTGGACTCCTCTATGTAGCTTTCATTCTGCTGGAAAACACAACGGAGTGTGGAAACTAAAATTAGAATGAGATTTTAAATCACAGAAGTAGACTGCCAACCTTTTTGATGTATTCTTCTCCAAAACAGGCACGACACTAGCCAGAGATTATATACCTCAAACACATCTCACAAGGCAGATCTGTTGCAACCATGCAGACAGCATACATCTGTTTGGCATGTGAACTAGAGAGTCTGTCCTCTCTGTGTGTATTCCTGTGGAAGTTTCTGATCATCCAATTACATTCTGATGAGGGCATGCATATTTTCAAGGGCTGTATCTATCCAATTTTGCCTGTAACAGACACTCAAACATTCTTAAATATCATTAAAACAGACAAGACTAAAAGTAAAACTTTGGAGAACAAAGGAAAATGGCCATGCACCTGCTCTTTTATGTTTTCCTAGGATATATCAAAAACAAAACAAAGTCAGTCAGTCTTTTAATGAGCAGGTTAACTTATATTCTCTGGATTTTTTCAGCCACCACAACTGGATTCTCTTTCCTGATTTTTGCTGCAGCTTCTGCTTTGTAATCATATGGGCAGTTATGCTTGTCAGAATAACGGTGAAGTCCACAAAACAAGTTTCCACATCGGCAGTCAAATCCTGTACAAAGAAAAAGACGCAATGTCACTAGGGTGCTTCATATTAAATAAAGCTGTAAGTTAAGGGCTTAGTTGCTGCAAAGACAGGTCTTTGCCATGAGTAGACATACAGAGTAAGAAAAATGAAGAGCTGTACTATGTTGTTTGGATTCTAAACAACCAGGTAAATTTAATACTACAGATATTTTCTTAAGTCATAGACATATGTTCAAAATTGACAAAGTATTCTCACACCTGTAAGGCCAACCTTCTTTCTGCACATGAAACATCTGTTCTTCTTTGGTTTGGGTAGTTCAGGAGCTCTCTCTTCACTCTGCGAAGTACTAGGCTGAGAAACTGATGGGCTTGGTTGAGTAACAACTGTTGAAGCAAGCAAAGGAAATAAGGTTGAATTGCCTTTTCTTGACTTCACTAGCTATTCAAGAGCATTTATGCATTTCTTAAGGATTAATTTCGCCTACTAAAAACCTGAATGTTTTTTGTCCGAAGTACTTAATAAACTAGCCTATGAAAATACAAATCAGGAATAGGGATTTTTAGGTACTCTATTCTTCCTTTTTGACTCTACAAAAGACAACAGGATTTCATCCAAATTTCCATCAGCTAGAGAACATAAGACACTCAACTTGTTACACCTGTACAGGTGTATATTGGTGTTAAGGGCTTGGAAAGTACTCCAGAAATTCCATGTACATATTTAATTATTTTTTTTTAAATCATATGATCAAGTAACATTTAATCCAAATAGTAACTACTGTCAAGGCTAAAGTTACTGAACAGAGGGGATGCCTGTACAGAATTTAATAGTAACAAACAAAACTCAAGAATATGATACTATCACAGTACTGGGTTACTCTGCCTCTGCAGTTGTCAAGTCAGACAGCTAAAACAATCCACCAAGACAGCTAGCAAGCCACTGATTCTGTCACAGATCCAGAACACAGCTACAAAGCAGTTCAAAAAAGCCCTCATGTTTGACACTTCCAGCAATTTAAAGAACAAAATGCAGATTTACACTTGAATAGCTGCATTTTTGTACTGTATTCAGCTTCAGTGTTCAGGTAGGTATAGTCAAAATGAGTAACTTTTCAGTTATCCTTCTCACTAACACCTTCAGACAAAACTCAAGACATCACTTTCTGAAGGACAAAAATCCATCCTTCTGCAACCTTTCATGAATCTGTTCCTTTCGTTCAAATTTTTTTTCCAATCAAACTTACAAAAAAAAAGTATTTTATTTATATCCAAATTGAAATTGAGAAAATCTAAGAGGTGTGTTTGTACACAACTTTAACACCTGCTCCTGGTAGTCTGTAGACTCCCAGCTGTATGACAACACATATTGTTCTAAAATTAAAAAAAACAACAAAATGCATTCCAGAATAAATGGGGGGTATATAAGCTTTATGTACTTGTTATCAAAAAATGGGTTTGTATTACCATGTTCATAGGCATTCTAAAATACAGCTCGTTATTACTGGTAACACCTAAAAAGCATCACAATTTACTGCTCAACAAGACAGCCCCCAGTCAGGACTTCAAATAAACAAGAAGTGACAGGCTCCCAGAGGTTACAAAAAACCTTCAGTACTCATAATAAAAATAAATAAATTACCTATACATGACATTATAGCAACAGTCCTGATGAAGAACTAAGGCCGTTTACTACCTTATTTTTTGTCACCTGCACAGACCTGTTTTTAAAAAAAGTTTAGGAAGTTCAGTGTCAGTGCTCTTTTGTCAAGTCTGAGGGCTTAAAAAATGATGACAACACTAGCACTACAATCACTACTGCTGTTGGTATTTTTTGGAGTAATTTCTGCTGCTACTTTTGTTTGAGAAAACAATTTTTCTTAAGTCTTAAGGATTAACATTTTCTACATAAAGACATATGATTCTCTGAATTTGTCCTTAAATCCCAAGAAAAGCAATGCTCAGAATCACTTAATCTGAATGTGTGTAAACAAAGAACAGGTTAAAAACCAGCAATATCACAGTGTAAACTTATTGGACACTGTGCCCCTTGGCCTTAAGAAAACCAAAAAACAAGTATCTCCCAAAACACATCGTCAAACTCCTTTTAGATTTGTTGTGTTGCTAATTTGTTTAAAAATTAAATGCTCATTCTAAGCCATGGAACATGAAAAAGAAGAACCAAAGCATACTTTGCAATTTTGCGTATTGTCAGAGGAAAGCCTTAACTCCATCAGAACCATCTTATGAGTCCTGGGAGCATGCATGTTGCTTCAATCAGATGCAAAAGAAAATGCAGAAGAGGATAATCAACACTGACCTAAATAATTAAAGTCATGCTCAACATGCACCAAGAGATAATAAAAACAAGAAGAGAAGCAACCCTTATGACTGCCTAACATGCTGAAAAGAAGGCGGAACAAGGAAGTGGAAACGGCAACTTCCCAAGATTCACCAAGGCAAAGAGCTAGCCTAATAGATCACTGTACAAACACTGAGAACAAACCCACCTAAGGGAAAATGTTACAAGAGACTACAGGTATACTTCTTCTTTTGCAAGCACAAACTGACAACTGGCAGGCCAGAAACTGGAATTGATCCTAAAAAACTGTACAGGCACATTTCCTGGAAGGGCTGCTTATCTTTATCTTTCCCCCACAACTAACACAAATTCCAAGAAGGAAAAGCAGTACACTATCTACAGTAACAGGCACTAAAAGGTCCCAAGACATGATGGGACGTAGATCTCTAAATCCAAATTAAAATGTTCAAATTTATTCTTTTTATGCCAGGAGATTTAAGTCTGATGATGAGTTTTTATCATGTTAAACCTTCACAAACATGCTTCTGAATAATGACTTGGACAGATGCAATGCTGCCTACCCTGCCCCTTACTTAAATCTGAATAAAAATACATTTTCATCAACCTGTGGCTCAGATGAAAAATACCGTACATAATAGCTGTTCTGTCTTGACAGCAGGAGTCAATATAGATACATCAGTTAAATATCTTGACAGCAGCTTCTTTTAGCACAGAAGCAATATCAATGGGGTACGTACAACTCCAGTTGTCAACATATAAAGTTAATTTTATGCCAGAAATCAGTGTTAATCATAAGGCAAAGTGCTCCAAATGATTGCTCTATGATCACCATAGAGTGAATAACTGCACAAATTCTGAAAGGTGGAAAACAGTGGTTACTGGTACCTGAAGAGCTGCTTCCTCAACGTGTGTTCAGCTGAAGCAAAGCACTCACCACTAGAACAGGTTTTAGCACTTAAACAGAATTCCTGTTGACATGTACCCCTCCCTCTTCACCACCTTGGTAATTTTTCTTCCCAACCTTTGCCTCTTGAGGTTACCCAATCAGGTTTACTCAATTTGAATTTTACCAAACCAGTTCTACTATTACAAAGGCAAAAAAATTAAGAGCAACAGATTTCCAGAATTAGGTAGGTCTATATTGATTATTATTTTGGTCTTAAATTATTATCTGTAGGCACTGTAACATGCATTACCATCATGCACTAGGAAGACTATCACCAATCCGCTAGGATAATAAAGACTAATGTAATCCTAGTATTAGAGAGGGGCCTGAAAACACACCCCATGAGTCTCAACAGAAGGCACAAAGAAACAGCAAGTCCACTGATCAGACAAGTTAGCTCCATGCCACAGCATGACAGCTACTCAACCTATACACAGAAACGTCCTACAAACGAGAAAACAAAGTTCTTCTCAGACCCCAAAGTATTAAGCTACAGTGACTATGTGGGACTGCCACTCAAAATTAAGACACTATAAAACCAGCTTTTTTCCTTATATAAACATGTACAGCTACTGCAAAAGAAGCATGCCTACTGCACCTATTTTCCCACTAAGATTTTACACTGGAAAGGAACAAATCCAATATTTCAACTGAATAAAACATTATGAAAATAAAGCAATATTACTTTTAACCCTCCCCATATATAAAACCAGAAAGGCTTATCAAAGTAACAGAAAGAACTTCTTAGAAACTTCTCTGACTAAATAAAAGTTAACCAAAATAAGGTATAAACAGCTTAAACAGCATGACTTTCACAGTACTAGTAAGTGGTAAGCAAAACAGTAGAACAAAGTCTTAAAAGCAAAAGGTGCATTGAGTATCTTTACTGTTACATTAATACAGTGTAAAAATACCCTCCCATCAAAGGATCCCACAGGAATATGGTTTAAGTTTTCATGGCCATCAAGTTAATGTCTGTGGTATACTACTGTTAAAATACTAACAGCATCCTATGACCAACTAGCACAGAACCAACAGCTGGGTCCCCAGACTTATTTTCCAAGGCAGACAGCTTCATGGTTTAGAAGAGGCTGATGGTTCTGTTTCAGAACTGTTTCAATCAGGGATGTCTACTGAAGCTACAGCAGACATGGGAAACATGAAGATGAGCTATTCATTTTCAACATAAGACAGTTGTTACATCAGACAATTATACCAACAACCACAAAGGAATAGCAACATGTTAAAAGAGTGATAGCAACATGTTAAAATACTATAGCCACGTGTGAAAACAAATCAGAATTAACAAGACACTCATTACAACAAAATCTGAAGAATGTTATATAGTGACCACCTTAAGCCTACCATCTCTCATGAACTGGCATCTTACAATATTACCTGAAATACACTGTACACATCAGACAAAGCAACTGGTTCTACCATAATATATGTATAGATAATCCCTAACAGGGTCTCAACCTGAATGCAGGACAACTGCAAAATAACTCTCTAATTACGCTGGCTTGGTAGAAAGCCAAGAGACAAGTAAGCCAATCACCATTGCCTGCTGTCTTCTGAAGCTAATTATTTCAGTAACAGAAAGAGTAAGCTACACCATGAATGGAATTATGGAGTAAGCGCACAGTATCTGGGTATTTTTAAAAAGTGCATTTGACACAAGATCATAATGGGTTGAATTTCTGGTTCTTTATAAGTAGTGCTGCTCTGCAGCTGTGGCTTTACAAAAATCACACTACTCCCTAAGACAGAGCTATTACTGGGTTTAAGAAAAAAACAATAAACAAACCCCAAACAACTCCACACCTGTGATACACATATTGATACTAATTAGATCTGGAAACACTGATCAAGCTGATTGGAGGCTCCTCATTCAGCATGGTACTGACCAAAAAAAGCACAAGAAAGTGCTAAAAATATGCTCTAACATGAAACAATTATTGTTTAAAATAGTTGTTTTCAGAACAGTTTATTTTTAGTAGTTACTATGCAACTCAATTCTTTTTTGTACAAATCTTTTATTTCCATTTGAATAACTGCTAAAAAAAACAACAAACCACTGTTTCTTAAGGAAAGGATCCATTATGCCTCACCAACTTGGAAGATACTGTTAGTGTAACACAAGGAAGGAAAAGAGTTCGCTAGGATTTGCACCTAGTTCCTGTAACTTAGCACAGCAATAAAGCAACTATGAATCACATTTCTAGAATGCTCTGGGTATAGTCTGACTTTGGTCAAGACTGTATTAGAATTCAATCCTTAGCAAAAAGTTAACAAGAGTATCAAAATCCTATTGAAAGTATTCTGGTAAATAGCGCTCACTTACGAATTTGAGTTTGAACATAAAGGCCTTTAGATATTTCTGACTTACGAGCTGTTAAAACACTCAAGTGCACTGGACACATGCCACTGTTCAATTATAAAATAGCAATCACCAAGTCAAACTAAGGAACTACAAGTTACAAGAAAACAACACACTAGACATGTGAATTACAACCAGCTAGGTTCGTTATAGCCATTATGCCTCTTTTTCTTAAAAAGTTAAGACATAATTGATCGTTTTATCACTGGATTTGTTCTGAATGAAAATCCAGGTTGTAAACTCTACTTGAGCAAAGGAAAAAAAAGAAAAAAACAAGCAGAAAAATGCAACCACCACCACCACCAATTTAAAAAAAAGCCTTTTAAGCGTAATTGGTTCATCATTCTCAGCTTCACCACCTTCTCAAGTCAGTTGCTTCAATTCCAAAAGTAAACAAGTATAATTTTATGCTGCAGACTGCTAAAAACAGAAAATTAGTTGGCCAAATGTAACTATATTATTAACTTTCTGGCTTCTAAGGGAAATATCCAACATTTCATCTGCTAATGACAATCTGGCAGAAGAGAACGTGACTTCATACTGTCGAAGAAGACATAAAAGGAGAGCAAGCTACACTGCTTGAAGGCTACATAGTTTGATCATGATCTGTTATTGTCTGATAGACAGTTATGAAATTCAGTTGCTAGGATCAGACTGTGCTTGCAACTAGGCTGTATTTTCGTGACCGTAGCATTACACCTCATAGACAGTATGATAAGCCAATGCAAGTTAGTCGCCATTGTTTCAGGTCCTCCTTGAGAGGAGACACTAAAACGTATTGGATGCTGATGGAAAAAAGAAGAAAAATGCAACTAGTCCAAATGTGACAGGGATTTTCATTAGGAGTCTAGAACAGCTTCTCCTGTCTGCAAGACAGCACTCAACATGCCACTGAATGCAATCAACACTATTTTAGATGTCCAACAAACACTAAGAACAGTAAATAATGACACTATCCTATGCTGTCTACAGTCTATGTCAAACCCTAATACTTAGGAACTCGGGTGCTGCAGCAGCTGAGCCTCTTTCACAAGGTTACGGTATGTACTCAGGCAGGCAGTTTTGTTCCACATTTTTTTTCCAGATGCTTTAAAGTTCTCTGGCAGTTTTTCCCCGTGATCTCTACACAAACTTTTGACAGCTTTTACTGTGATATTATTTACAGTACCTAAGTATCTTCAGTGGCTTTTTGGATTTTTCCACCTATTCTGATCAATAGAGTGCAGTGTGAACATTACCTATTACACAGATGACCCACAGTACCTGAAAAACACGCAATATGTTAATAATAACAACTCAAGATTGTTGTTCACACCTGGCAATGTGACAAATTCCTACTGCCAGTTCTATTAACAGTAAAGTCACCTACTACTTCACTACTGCTACCATTTTTTGTATTCCTCTTTCCTGCTTGCAACATATCAGGTAGAAATTCATAACAAAGCCAGATGGGTTTATAAATTTTGTAGCAAAGTCTGAACTATTTCTCAGTTGCATACAGAAATCCTCTGTAGGTGACATTAGTTTCACTAAGTTAATACTTCCAAAAATCTCCTCTCAGTCTATTCATTATGAAAAACCCTATCCTCTAACTGTATCTTAGCTCGCATCACAGAATCTGAACTTAGCATGACTTACTGCAAATTTTAACACTGTCTGTACAAATATAGAGAAATTAAGTATCAGGTGTTCAAAGCAGACTTTGCTTTCAAAGATAAATCTAGACAAAAAAAAATTTCTATACAGTGCAGAGTAGCATCTTCTGCAATTTTCACCTCACTGACTTAATAACTAAAAAAACGGATTTTTTTCTTCAGCTTGAGTGAACAGACTTCCTACTAAACATTAGCTGTTAGTGTTTTTAAGACTGTTTCAGAACTATTAAATTAATGTGGATATGTATAAGCACAGAACAGGTGTGTTAAGATATTAATTGGAACAAATTTATATGAATTTAAATCACTCACTAGTTGTAGCCAAGAAAGCTGTTCTTTCCTGCTTTCCTCCAATAGTAGTTTACACTTTATTTACTACAGCTGAAACCTTCCAGTACAAGATAAAAACTTTTAAATTGACAAGTCACACCCAGCAATTAAGGCTGCAAGTACCCCACAGTTGCAGAACAATGTTTTGCTTGTATTTAATGATTACTCAATTAAATAACTTAAGCAGTTTTTGTCATTATTCTTAAATTACACATTGCCTTCACCCACAGCCTCACTCTTCCATAGAATGGAATTTATTAAGAACTCCTTTCTCCAAACACAAGCCATTTTCAGTGCCATGAGTCAGCAAGAATTGTACTGCTAGATAATAGAGAAATCTCAACATCTTGACTTCAAAACTGAAGACCTTGCCCAAATACAATTTCAGAGTGTCTCAGTTTTAAAAACAGGGGTTTGGGGGCCACCCTCACAAGTATAATTTCATTTTTTATTTACTAACATTGAACATGCATCTGAAAACTATTGCAACATGAGACCTTTTTTTGATTCAGATGAGAGCATACTCAAAAAAGCATCCTTAAAAATCATCTTAACAGTTCAAAACTACCACTAACAACAGGGTATGCCTACTCTGAAAATAAATAAACCCTCAGCCTCCACTACGTCACCAGTTGTACTCAGTGTTACTCTACAAACATACCTGGCTCGGTCTCTGTTTTCGGTGGTAGTTTTTCCTCTCTTGAAATGCTCATTTCTGTCATTTGCTGCGTTACAGGCAAAGCGGCAACAGGCACATTTCTGTTTAAGTACAGTGGAACACATAATTTGTTAGTTTGGCATTCATAATAAAAGCTTCAACTGTCCAGACCCATTAAACAGCTACATCTTGAATTACTACTGATACATGTACCTGATACCATCATCTTACCTTGATTTTTCAGATGTGCTGCCAGCAGCACCTTCACAGTTGTTTAAGCTACTGTCTGCTCTCTGTACAGATGCAGAGTCTGAGGTAGGACTGTTTGAACCACTGGCTGTTCCTATGTAACAGGAATTTGACAAGTCAGTCATGAACAAACTGCAAAATATAGCCAAGTATTCTCATATTCAGCTATGAGCTGTCTGCATACAATCTTCCCTGCTACTGCATATTATTTCTTACTTAAAGACAGGCTATATCATTAACAACCAAACCACAGAAATTGTATACAAATAGGTTAACAGAAGAAGTGGAAAAGCAAGTTCTGGCTGAATGCCAAGCAGGAGAGAACACATCACATAGAAATGTATTTTTATCTTTACTGTGATTTAAAGCAGTATTCTCGTTGATACTGTTTTAGTACAAAGCTTTCAGAAGTTCTCCTGAAAAACATTCTGAGATTCCCCATAATCTGTTTTACTTTAAAAGAAATCAGAAAACCCAAAACCAACCCACCGTGCACCCTTACCCATTGGGCTGATTCTGCCACTATTCTGCTGACGCTGAAGATGCTCTTTGTAGCAAACAGAACACATCCCATTTGTCCTAGGATTTCCATAAAATCCACATCCTGTACTACACAGCATGGGTCCTGGGGTCTGGTTTGTCTCCTGAGTCATCTCGATGCTGTAAATAAAAGCAAGAACTGCATTAGATGCTGGCATGTCACCAAAATCAATTATAGTATCATAGAATTATAGTATGTCAGCTCACTCTGCCCTCCAAAAGTGATATCAGCATTCTTAAAGAGGGTTATATGGATATTAACATACCATTCAATACTGCAATTTTACTGCTAAGTAACATCATTACAAACCCTTAAGAGACAAGTGTCATCATACTAATACTGAGTAGTAATGTACTTGTTGGGCACTGAGCTACATGTACAGGTTATGACCAAGTCCAATTAGACAGTGAAAAAAGCCCTTTATTACCAGACTGAGCATTAATAGGGATAAGCAGAATAAGCAAGACAAAGTTCATGTCTACCAAACAGTTCTTGCAAATAACATAGCTTCTTTTTTTCCCCAACGCCAGTAGATCTAACATTACTGAAAAAGTTGGATCTTGCATGATTTCTTTGTTAATTCCAGTTTTAGCAGTTCCTACTCTCACAATACATTTGTCGAACAGAATAAAAATCCTTTAAATATTGGCAGCAGCCATTTAAGGTCTGTACTCGTACCTTTAGAAGGAGTTTCCAAAACAAGGTCCTGAACACTGCTTAAATTGTGTATGAAACCTGATACGGAGTACTAACTGGCAACAACATGTGCACAATGGGCCCTTCAAACCGTAAGTTTAGAGCAGGCCTTATTCTTCCAAAAGGAAAAAAAACTTCAAACTGTTGAGTATGTTCAGCTACACAGCCTACACGTTTAAAAAAATAAGCAAAAAATGTCAGTCAAGTTCTTTAATACAGTTATAGCAAGACTCTGGGCCTCCCAATGGCAGACAACGCTAACTCTCTGCCATGAACTGCAGAAGCTGGGAACCAAAATACTTCACCTTCATTGCTGGTTAACCTCTGTCAGGCAAGGTTAGTAGAAAAACTGAACAGCAACCAAATGCTTGATTCCCAAGGGCAATAAAATTGGAACACAGTAATCAAGCAATCTGCTGAAAATTGAGGACACTTAAGAATACTGTAATCTTCCTCCCATAACTTAAATTTACTAGAAGTATTGTACCTGGCAGCTGGAGACATTTTAGTGGTCTCTAGATTTCTGTCTTCCTATTCAGGAATGGTCACAGTAAGACTCAGTCACAATAAGTCTCCTTTTGGAGGAGGCCAAGGGGTCACCTCATTGCAGCCTATGGCTTCCTCATAAGGGGAAGAGCTGGGGCAGGTCCTGATCTCTTAACTTCTGTGACTAGTAACAGGACTGGGTGAAATGGCAGGAAGCTGAATTAGGGGAGGTTCAGGTTGGTTATCAGGAAAAGGCTCTTCACCCAGAGGGCAGCTGAGCAACTGGAACAAGCTCCCCAGGGAAGTGGTCACAGCACCAAGTCTGCCTGAGTTCAAGAAGCATTTGGATGATGCTCTCAAGCACTTGGCGAGATTCCTGGGGTGCCCTACACAGAGACAGGAGGTGGACTCGATGATCCTGATGGGGACATTCCAACTCAGCATATTCTGTGGTTCTATGTTTATAAGAGATATACGACTGCTGATGCTTTTGAGAAGTTAAATATGCAGAGAGGAAGTTAATTACAGTGTACAGGGAAATACACTTATTTTAACTAAGAAAACCCACACTCTAAGTAGTGAACTTACATTCAACTAGTATGAAACTGCAACTGACAGCTGCCTTTGTCTAATTAAACTCAGTTTCTGGAATCAATGTAAAACAAGAGCAGGAGAAAGTAAACAAGCAAAATCCATCTGCTTGCCTGCTGGTGGTCATGAAGCCTCATTTTCCAGGTACAGATAGTTGTATTATTTGTGTCTTTATAATACTTTCACAGCATACATAGTTTCAAGACTACAAAACAGCTTCACACTTAATCTGGTAGTTTCACAGTCCTACACACAAGTCAAGGGTCAGAACAAACCATGACCAAGCCAGAGAAATCTAAAAAAACCTGATGATCTGTATCATATGCCCATGTCTATAATACAAATAAAGATTGTACTTCTGCCCTTTTCTTAGGCAGGTAAGCTTAAAGTGCTCTCAAACACACCGTTACCACACACCTCAGTGTCCTGGCTCCACTTCCAAACGAATCCGCCGCAAATATGTTTCACCACAGACTAAATCCAGCTGCAGGGGTTAAACACGGGTATCAACCTATGACAAACAGGAGCCTCCACAGCTCCTCCGTCAGCCCTTTCTTTCACTACTTGAAACGCACACGCTGAACTGAAAGGTCAAATCCTCGTTACCCAAGGCTGAGGAAGCCCTGCTTTCCCGGCCCTTGCCGGGTGCCCGGCACGTCACCTCTGTTTCATCTAAAAGCGCCCCCC